ACTTCACCTGCCTAACCTCGCTCCCCACCCCCCATACAATGTTGAAAACTACTAGCTGCAATTTCTCCTGATTTTCAACATTGTATTGGGTGGGGAGGGAAACAGTAATCCATTTTTAAAAGGAAAGCAGCACTTTTTTCAAACTTCAGTAGTAAATCACAGATAATTCGTTAAATTACATTAGTGTCCCAAGGACTTTTGTCTACGATTGTAGGTATATAATGGATGTAATCATCTTTTAATCATAATTCAAACAACTGAGTTTAGTAAAATTCAAGTGTCACATTTAATGTTTAGTTTAACCAAATTTCTCCATTAAAAACCAAAATATTTTTATTTTACATTTTCTCAGAGAAATGTGTAACTGTCAAAAATATTGTCATGGACATAATGTAACGTCCATGAAAATTAAAGCGCTATTTTTTTTCTCTCATGGCTTGTATCTAAGCCTGATATAAAATAATATCTGCGACAACAAAACTTATCAGTTCTAAAAGGTCACTAAAAAAACTTGATGTTAAGTCGGTCATGGATGTTACATCACGGATGTTACATTCATGGATGTTATAATTATTATGGACAACATTAAATGCAAGAAGCTTGGTAATAATGGCCCTAAAAGCCTGGTACTAATATATTATTTTGTCATTCTACAAAAATTGAGGACTTAGAGTTCGAAACAATGTTAAATTATTATAAATAACAACAATAATATAACAGTCAACAAAAATGTCAATACGGCTCTGTGATTAAAATTCAATGTCTGAATATAATACTTCTGCTTTGTCTCTAAAGTTTGTACAAATGTAACGTCCATGATCGTGGAATGACCCACAATCATGTATATGAGTTTTGAAATAATCAAGGTGCATTTCTATAATTTTTTGGAATTATTACAGAAATCCACTGTTAATCCTGTGTTAACACAATAATCACTGTTTACATATTAACAGGTTCAACATTGGTTACACTTTAGGTTCAATTCGATGGTTTGAACAGATTCTCACCTTCACCAGACTCTTCTATTCCAGTGACCTCTAGAAACTCTGCTCCAAGTGATTGGACCTGTTCCTTGACAGCAGCTCTGGTATCAAAGCCACGAACAATGGCTCCCATATTTCTAGCTGTGGCTATGGCGGACAAGCCAGCAACTCCACCACCTGGTTTCATCAAAAAAGGAGCATGTAAAACAACAAAGTCACTATTAAGCTTGAAGGCTTGAGAAGAAGGAAGAACACTTTGAGGAATTTGGAATTTGGATTGCTCCAGAAATTATTCATATCCCCTCCCTTACCCCCATGAAGGGTTTCTTGGTTTGACAGCCCCCGCAACCACCCCTCTGGAATTTCCAGTTTATGTTCCAACTTTCCTGTCTTAAAAATTGAGACCGCCACCGCCTTGTCATGCCACAGTGACATGGGGTGAGTGAAAATTTTTTTTTATGGAACTGTTCATGTATGTACATTCATTCTCTCATCAAACCAATTACTTAAAATACATTATTTTAATTACAGTAGCAGACAAGGTACTCACCTATAACAAGAATCTTTGCTGGAGGAACTTTCCCTGCAGCAGTAATCTGCCCTGTGAAGAATCTCCCAAACAAGTTTGCAGCTTCGATAACTGCCTTATAGCCTGCGATATTGGCCATGGAGCTCAGAGCATCAAATGACTGGGCACGGCTAATCCTTGGAATACAATCAACTCCAAACGCTGTTATTTTCCTTTTTGCTAAGACATCCAACAAGTCTTTGTTTTGGGCTGGGTAGAGAAAACTGATCAGTTTGCCACCTTCCTTCATAAGGTCAGCTTCATGGACACCTGAAACCTGATTTTTCTGAGGTGGCCGTACCTGAATGATAACGTTACCAGGGTACAATACTAACATTAGCCAACTAGTCACAGAACAGTGACAATTTAGCTTAAAATGTACTTTCTACTAATTTCTACTAGCTACTTACATGTAACTTTGACTAGTCAAGTCCAACACCAACAGTGTCAAGAATTTAAACAAATACATTGTACTGTACCAGAACCTGCTGAGTAGTTACAAACTGTTGTCAGTGGATAGTATGTCTGCCTAGTCAGTAGGCTACTATGGTAGAAAGTTAATCTCACAACTTGTGTTACATATTAAAGAAGAATATTCTATAAGCCATGTGTGATAAAATTTGGCCAATGCTTGTTTGTTTGTCTAATTCTGAAGTGCAACCACAATACATGAAGCACTCTCTTCTCTGAATCTCTCTGGGCTAGGTCCACTCCTTACCTTAAGGACAATATCTGAACTAAATGCCTCCTTGGCTGACTTGACTTCTGCTCCAGCAGCAATGTAATCTGCATCAAGAAACTTAGCTCCTTCACCAGCTCCTGCCTCTACCACTACTTTAAAGCCTTGTTTAGTGAACTGCTTGGTAGCTTCAGGGGACATAGCAACTCTTTTCTCCCCTTCATGGATCTCCTTTGGAACACCAACAGTCAGCTGATCATATGGGACACCGGCAACTGACTCTGGCTCAGATTTATCTGTTAACAAAAGCATGGCACTGTACAATGCACATTGCAGTCCAGACAGAGGTTTTCTCCTTTGACTATCAAGTCAAATTTGAGCTGCGAAGTGGCATTTAAGCTTTCAAACAACCACCATGACTGTTAGAAGAAACCTGACTGCCTCACTTTTAAGGCCCAGCTACCTTACAGAGGAGTTTTGGTACAGCTCTGATAAAACTGGTTCCTGAGTCAACTTTTTCATTGATGTTTGGACTACCTACAGTGTACTGTACATGTACCTGCCTGGTCTGACCACTGGTGAAAGTGGACACAGGTACTCATTTTATCCAAGCTGTACCAAAAACTCTGTATAGTGTCAATGGCCTTTAAGGACCATGGCCCAGGCAAACTACATACATTTACAGAGTAGCAACATACCACCAGAAAACAGCAAGACTATAATTAAAGTAAATTACATATTTAAATGGAAGCTTGATCCCAATGCAGCAGTACTTGGCAACTGTGAGATAATTACCTTTGGCCTCATTAGCACAGAATCGTACAGTTCCTGCCAGAAGCTTCGGATAGAAGTGGCAATCCTAAAAGCACATTATAATCCATGGTCAGCATCAAGATTCTCAACAGTTCATCAGACACTTTCTTTTATTTTACCATTTGTTAACAACTGCCTTACCAAGTGGAGGTTGGGTGTCAGCCAGCCAGCTCCTACATGCAAATGAAGACCACTCCCATGACTGGTAATCCTGACAACCCAGCCAGAGCCTCCATGAGGAAGGGAGAAAGTGGGCACCCGTCACACTGATAAAACATGGGAAGGAAAAGGGAGGGACAGGGGAGAAGAAACAACCTCTGAGCAGAGTCCCTGTGCTTGAGACTAAGATGCTCGAGGAAAACGCTGACAAATAAAACTACTTGAATGCCTTGTGGCTCAAGAGCATGTGGAATCCTGGCACATGCACAAATATAAATGCCGCTCACTGCAAAAGCAAGACTTGTGCTCCTTGTTGTTAACTCCATTAAATTGCATTTAACTGCATTTAATGGTCTGGTTTTTAAGTGAGAACCTTTTTATTCTGGGGGCTTCTTTTTTCTAACTAACTAACTACATGTTTTAATCCAGCATCAAACCAATCAAAAAATCCAGTAAATATGACATAGATGAGTGATTCAGGAATATCCCTGAACATGTATATTTGTACATTATACGAATTCACAGATTTCTGAGGTTTTCAATGCATTTGAGTAATACTATAGTCCACAAAATTTACTCTTGCCTTAAAAGCGGAACACCTTGGTGAACAAGTTGTCCTTCCATAGCTACCTAATACACTCTTAGTTCCTGAAAAACAAAAG